AGAAGGCTTATTTATAATAGGTCTCACCAGCCAGAAACTTCACATTGCTGCCAATATCAGGGACTGATGGCTTCATGTCTCTTTAGTTAGGCCCCAGGTGTAGAACATGAAGTTCCTGGTTCAGCCTTCAGAGTTCCTGGCATGGGAAAGGCTTGGGTCATAGAAATGAATGGAGTCAGGTGACCCAGCATGCTTCCAAATGCAGGCTTATTTTCCAAATGGGTAATTGTTTATTTATTTATTTGTTGCAAATGGGTCACTGGCAACAGCCTTTTTGTTTTTATTTTACTTACTAGATTTCCCCTGGAAGGGGTAAATCTGGATTAAATTGTTGAAAAATACAGGCTGGCATTTTGAGGACATTATTTGGATTCTGCAAAAGAACTTGTAGGCATAAGAACCTTCCACCCCACAAGAAACACCCATCTAGTAGCACCTCCAGTGTACCACTAGAATTCAGAGTGAATTTCTGCTTTTCCCCTGGACAAGGGATGAATATAACAAATTATCCCTGTCTCCAGAAGTTAAGAAGCACTTGAGGAAATTATAATGCAGGTGGTTAATAAGCGAGCATTCTCCTTTTTTATTTATGAGGATCTGTGAAGTTGAACAAAACATTTCTTAAACATCTCCATTAACTCTTAAGGTATGGATCACCATAATCAAATATGTAAGATAAATAGGAGAGTTGGTAAAAAGTGCAAAGGGGGGAGATGAATGGGATTGAATGTAGTTGTTTGTGCAATCTTCGCTATCGTGGTCTGCTGCCACGCTAATAATGAATATATGCATTATTAATAACAGTGTTTATTCTCATAAACCAAGTACAGCAAGTTAATATTTAATCCAACTCATGCAAGAAGCCCCATCCACTCTTTCTCAGGTCTCCATTCTTCTTCCTTCGTTTGACTTGCCTTCAAAATAATGTCAACGCTAACACAAATTCTACTTCTTGATCCAAAAATTCTTGTTGCCTTTCCAAATCCACTAGGTTTTTTAAAAAATATGATAAATCTGTCTTGCAGTCATTGTAGGCCAGGAGGTTTTATATTGGTGACTCAAGTGAGGAAGCATTATGTGCTATTGGTGATATCTGTGTTCTTACATTGTTTTGTCTTTGTTCTCAGAACCCATGATGTGTTGCTACCACAAGCGAAGCACACATTATCGAGAATGACTAAATGTTTATGCAGCCTAACAATTATAAATCTATTATTTGGTGTGACTGCTCTGCACAGAAATACTTGAAGTACAGCAAACAAGTCATAATATTTAATGAATTGGTGGGCCCAAACAGGAATAACTAAAATAAGGATTGGTAGATGACTTTTCCAAGGAAACTTCCTTGTTCAGGATCAGGAAAATAGAAATCAAAATACCTTTCTTCCAATTTATTTTTCCCAGAACTTTTAACACTTTCATTGCCTCATCCTTCAACACTTGTTTCACCTTTTGATCTCTGAAACTACTGCCCCTTGGAATTGACTCAAATACGCCTGGAAAATCAGGACATTGAAACTTGCCTTCTGATATTGAAAATAAAACTACACACTGCACCTTGCCCTTCCACATTTAATTTCACCTGAAAATTACATGCAATATGGAAGATACGGGAACAGGAATGTAATTTTTTTCCTAAAGTACTCATGTCCTGATTTGATGGGTATTGGAGAAGGTAGCCTATCTTTCTGGCAGACTTTTGCACCAAGTTCTGTAGTAACATCTTGCTACCCTTTTATGAATTAGCATTTTCACCTTTGTGTTGGTAAATAAATATACAATAAGTGTATTAAGTATGCATACTTTCCTAATCTCTCACTAACAGATGAGCATTGCTTTTGGTTCCTTTATTGTCCATCAAAGTTGGGTATAACTTGCAATATTGGTGAAGCAGTTTAATGATATATAAATAAGAACCTTCCTGCCAGTAGCTTTGTCAACAATGAACTGTGCATCATTTCTAAGTTTCCTTAGCCCTCTTCACACATCAAACATAGGAAGCTGGTGCATTCATTGAAAGGGGCAGTGGGCCCAGCGTTTCTTTAGCAAGGAACCTTCGTCACTTCTGTATAGCAACTCTACTCTTTCCTTCCAGGACTGACAGCCCTGCCCCTTTGGAAGCTACAGTGCTTTCTGCCACCGGCGCCTATGTTGTTATTTCTAGAGAGGATTTATAGCATTTTGGGATAAGGCTCCAATGAAGTTATTAATCAGAGAGATGGAAGAGTCCAGCACAGTTTATGGTGTGATGTGGATGAAAAGAGAATTCTGAATATTAATGTCTCAGATAATGATTAGGAGATAGAGAAGAATTTGAGGGGGGTGGGGTGTAGGAAGGAAGGACAGGAAGCATTGTGGGTAAATATATGCAGCTTCTGGTGGTGATTACCCTCCAAGTAATTAGTTTTTAAAGCAGGCAGACGTTTCAGGAGCCACTTACTCTGAGCTGCTTTAATTATTTATGTTCTCTTTTATTCTTAATATTTATGGCGGGTCCTCTTTTAAACAGGAGTCGCGTGGTGCAATGGGGCCACTCATCCTGAACAGAGATCCCTCTCTGTCACAGGTCCCATTCCTCTTCCTCCCCCACCCCAAATTGGATGTTCATTGACAACAGCCCCTGGCTGGAGTCAGTCCTGCAGACAAGTTTATCTCTGTGTTTTCTCTCTCCCCTCTCCTTTCGATAGGATGACAAATGGGATGTCAAGAATTCCACAAGACCCCCACCCTGCACTGCAGAAGCTTCTCACTCTCCTCTGTTAAGGCAGCAAACAGTAAACAATGCCTGTGCCCCCGCTTCCAAATAAGCTCTATTGAAATAAAGTAATATTCCGACCAAATAATCATGGCAGCCACCTGGGATAATTGCTTTTTTTGAAATGGGTTCTATGGGTGGGGGAGTAAAATATAAAAATGCACCAGGGGAAAAAATGCAACCCAACCCCTAGATCGTCTCCCTAATTTCAGTTGTGTCTTGTATCTCTGTGTGCGTTACAATCCCAACCGGTCATCCAGCACATGTGTGCACATTTAATTTTTTTTAATTTTGCAATGCATGTAACCCTTAGAAAATCAGTTGACTTTCAAACGATAGGGGCGGCTTGGGCCAGGGAGTCTTATTTTAAATGTTAGCAATGTAAATTTGTTCCACTTTTGGTTCTATGTAGTTTGTTATCTGCTTTGAACCTTTGGTTTATAAATGTGTCAGACGGAACAACCTCACAGGGTTGCTGTGTGGATAAAGTGTGTGTGTGTTGGAAGCTATCACATATGCTGCTTTGAGCTCATTGGAGAAAAGGGAGAAGAGGCAAGGTATGAATGGACTGATCTATAGTGTCCTAGTGTGAGCTACATTGGTAAGCATTGCAGAGCCAAAGGCACACACACCTGTGTCATTGCTGCCACCACATTGAATATCCCAGGTTACACAGAATTTTAGAGCTACAAGAAGGGAAGTCTCACTGCACAGTTCAAGGGACTTTGAATACAGCAACAAGGAGTCACTACCATTCAGTTGCCAAATAATTCCACCACCCAACTCATAGGAAGCTGCCCTATACAGAATTGGACCATTGGTTTGTCTAACTCAGTATGGTCTCCGCTGGCTGCCAGTGGCTGTCCATGGTTTCGGGCAGGCGTCTGTCCTAGTCCTACCTGGATATGCTGGAGATTGAACCTGGTACCTTCTGCATGCAAAGCAGAGCTAGGTCCTGCTCACTGAGCTACGGCCTTTCTCTAGGTCTCAGCCTAAAACGGATTGCAGTAGTGTCAAATCTATAAAATTGGCATATAATATCATTTGCCTTCCTCCCACCAATGGCTCAGCAAACATGCACAGTCTTGAAGGATGGAGATGTTGTTACGGTCTGCAACCCACACTATGGAAAACAATATAAATGTTAAGACAATAAGATCGAAAAGATAAAATTTTATTTTTGGTAGCATTCGATACCATAGTTCCAGAAGATACAGAGCAGGGTGGTGATGGGAGAAGCCATATTAGTTTGCTGCAGAAAAATCAACCAGTCAGAATTGGTCCCTTAAAGACTAGCAGATTTATTGTGGCAAAGGCTTTCTTGGGTCAGAGCCCAGTTTTTAAAAGCAATAAAGTGATACAGTGGGCTATGGCCCAGGAAATCTTACACCACAAAAAATGGGTGAGTTGTTAAAGGTGCCACAGGATCCCTTGTTTTTTTATTAACCAAGAAGTGTTTTTAAGTGTAGTCCCTGACAACTGTTCGGGGGCCATGCTCGAATTGTTCGCCTCATGCTGCTAGGATGATCCTACAGAATGGCGACGAGGAATGTATTGGCCTCTCTTCATACCCTTCCTGTGGAGTTCTGCTCCACCTCCTCCGTTGCTACTGGCTTGGGCCGGAGGACAAAACTACATAGAAATATGGAGTAAGGTATGACTGTACTGTGCTGGCGATTCCCAGTTTGGTAGATTTATTTTTGGGCTGCGGCTGAAGGTGATAAAGCCAAGTGAACACAGGCTCTGTAAGTATGAGAAAGGGAGAAAAACCTCTGTCCACTTATTCCATACCTTGTTTCAGTTACTACACCTCTATCATGTCCCTCCTCTCACCATTTTTCTAACCTGAAAAGCCCCAACTGCTGAAACCTTTCCACATATGGAAGTTTATTCAGCATCTTGATAATTTAGGTTGCCTTTTTCTGCAACTTTTCCAATTCTGTGGTATCGTTTTTGAGGCAAGGTGACTAGAAATGCACACGGTATGCCAAGTTTGTCTTAATTTTAAAATTATTAACACCCTACCTTGTTTTTTACAATGTTAATTATTTTATATTTCTCATTGTTTTTAATATTTTACGTTCAATAGTATGCTTAACATATTTTATTCTGTTTTATGTACTGTGTTTTCTTCTTGACCAATATATGTACGAAGTTTGTAATTGATAAGTCATTACAATAATGGAATTATATTTTTGATCCTTTTTGTAATAATCCTTAATATGGCATTCATTTTTTTCCACAGCTGCCATGCACCGGGTCAACGCTTTAATGGAACTATTCACCACCACTACCACCCCAAGATCCCTTTCCCAGGATCAGTTGGTAAGACCTCATCTGCATATGTTGTAAACCACCTAAAGGTTTTGGGGTGTTGTTGTTTTACAATCAAGTGGTACAGTGATTGGTTACTTTTTAACTTGCATCACCACTATTTGCCTCAATTCTGTCAGATTACGTTCCTGAAAATATCAGTTCAGGAATGGCAATCTGCCGTACTGCTTCTGCACTGAAGATGGGGGCAGGGGGAGAGACAATCAAGCATCTCTGCAAAATAAGTTACTATCTTTCTCACCACCCCATATTTGTTGCAACGTTTGGTCCATTTGCAAAAGAACCTTTAGAAGCTGGGAGAGCAGTTGGGCAAAAGCGTAGTTCACAGGTAAAGCTTACACAAAATAAGCCCTGAAGACAATAATCCTTCTGACATTTTCCATTTGAAACATTTATTTTTGGGAAATACATATTAAACACTATTATTTATACAAAACAGAACTAAATTTGTCATAATGCATACAATCCTCAAAAAGGCCATTTTCTTATAGATTTGGATGATTTATTTTTTTGGTTTCATTCGGTAAAACCTCCCCCCGCCCCGAAGTACAATATAAAAGGAGAAAGCCATTTTTGTCTTGCTTTCGCTGGCTGAGATATTGGCAAACGAGATACAATGCATTTTAATTTTTATGTTGCTGAAGTGCATCTAAAAAAACCAAGAGACATTCTCTATTACCCTTTTCATAGTCTTAAACACTTGAAATATATATATTTTTAGTTAATACAATTTTTATTTTGCTAAAATATAGCAAGTCAGCAAGTAAAAAAAATAATTTTCCTCAGCTTAACACAGCTCAGTAAAGAGTCCTCCGTTTATTCATTTTTACGTTTGGGAGGCACAACACAAAAAGTTAACATGGCAGGCTTAGATTTAACTTGCAACACAACAACAACAACAACAACGTATGAGTGCCTCTGAGCAAAGAATATGTGCAGATGCATCCATTGAGGGCCATGAGTGGCAAAACAAGTGAACTAAATGCCTGACACAGTTTTTGAGTCATAAAGGAAAGCACTTGTCAGGGAACACTGTGGAAGCAGCAAGTAGCTCTTGGGAAGTCTTGGTTAGAGTCAATTTGTAGGCTTGCATCCTAAGGACATGCAAGACGAAAGTGGCCAATGGCTGAGATCCCTGTGTGTTGTGTGTTAAAGTGTGAAGCATTCCCCTTAGGCATGCTGAGAGTGGGCTACATCAGTGCCAGTGAGAGCAAGATGAAAACTTATCATTTGCCTTTTCTGAAAGCCAAGCATCAGCATGCCCGTTCTGTTCTTTGCAGCCCCACAAGAGGGCAGCATGGCTCAGAGCTTTCCACTTTGGAAAAGGAGCTGTGATTGAGAGTCTTCTGCACATGGCACAAGAGGAGGTGGTTCTATAGAGCTGGCTACTTAAGATTTGCTGTCTGAGGAAGAGAAAGCTGTGACTGCTGGTTCTCTTGGTTATTTTTCCATAACTGTGAACATGGCCTCTGCCCCTCCAAATCGGGTAAGTGTTTAGCAAGCAGTTCTTTCCCCCTTTCTCTGTAAAGAGATGTTTCCTCTGACAAACCCGGAAGTTGCACAAATGAACTTCTGGGTTTGTCAGAGTTTAGTTGCCTGACTACTGGAGTTAAGACTGACTGAAGTATTCGAATGAAATCAATGTTAAAAAGAACCCTTTGAGCAACTGGCACAACTCTGCTTCAATATTAAAATGTGGCATGGAAAGTAGGCATAGGACCTCAAGTATTCGGGCCAGCTGATGGGGCAAACAGCTTCCACATGATCCCTACTTCACCACCGCCCTCAAGCACAGAGATCATCTGGAAAATTGTATTGTGTAAATTGACAATCTTAGATTAAGCTGTGTGCTTAACCAAGGGCCATGCATTACTGCAGAATGCATGCAAGATCCCGGGGCTCAGCATTTAATACAGAGCAGGGGGTGGAGAACCTGTGGCTCTGCAGATGTTGTTGCTTGCCCATTGCTCAGGGATGATGGGAGTTGGGATTTGAGCAACAGCATCTGCAAGATTACAGGTTCCCTATCCCTTTTTGCATGCATGGCCCATCTATATGTGCAGACCTAAGGGATTTTAGCCACAGATAGTTAGAAAAGTTATACACACATAAAGCTGCACAATGAGAAACAGCCAGGAACACACACACCCCATAGCCTCTCTAACATTTTAAATAAGAAACAGGTTAAAACAAGAGCTCGAAGGATTGAACTCTTTTCAGCTGAGATTAAAGGGACAGGGGGATTGGGGAGGAGAGGAATGTCCTAAGAATCAAGGTGACTTACATTTGATCCCATAGTAGACCACCTCCTTTTCTCCAGTGAGCAAGCTGGCTCCCTATTATTGCTGGCTTTTTTTTAAAGGAAAGGGGATATAGATCAGACATGCAGGGAGTAAGATGTGCATAGTGCTGGGTGGAATTGTGCCTTCTGATAATACTCCGTTCACTCTACCCTCACGTTAAAAAACTTTTATCTAGGTCATGAAAATCTTCACTTGAAATGGGTGGAGATAAGATACAAAAGAGAGGAACACAAACACACACACACACTAAAAACAAACATACAATGCTTTCCCCCTTCTCACTCTGGTTTACAGAACAATAAACCTTTGGCACTAGGAAATCAAGTGGCTCAAGAGGAAGATTACCATAGACTTGAACCACTGAAACAAAGAAGGCAGACAGGAGCACCTCTCTTTTCTCTCACTTTCATAAGGGTGGGGAGATGCTTTGGTGGCATGTGTGACCTAGCGTCCATCAGTGCCTCACCAGGCCTGTATCAACCAAGTTGCTAATGAAAGCTTCCTCATCCAGATCAACCTCACCTGGTCAGGATTGCAACTTTTGTTGCTTTAACTGGAGGTGAAACTGCATGGATAGGATATGGAATGTGTGGCACCTCTCTTAAACGCAGCCCCGTGCCCCATACTTAATAGCTTCAACTCATGGCACAAAACAAGGTATCACATTCAACTTCAACACTAGGGCAGCTGTCTATGAAACTTACAGTTCACCTCCCAATTGACCAAAGGGGACAGGGGAGGGGGGGTCAGTCTGTGCTTTCTAACAACATCCATCTCAGCCTTAGTAGGAGCTCCCCCAGAGTTTCAAGAAAGGGACGCTCACCTATCACAGTAAAGGACCTATGGCAAGGAGGCCACAACTAAAGTAAAACATCAAACCAATGCATATCCTATTGAGGTTCCCTCTCAACCTCATCCCCTCCCTAGGGATCAGTAACTACAGCCTACACAGAAGAACAGAATAGATGTTTCACATCACAGACACTAGAAAAGAGAAAGACACTACATTTATTACAGAAAAGTACTGTTATTTGGTCAGTTAATGTCAGCAGCTTGGGTACTGTTGGCGGAGAGGGGAAAACAACAGTGGCATAGAGTTTATATGGGGTTTTTCTTGGGTTTTGTTTTTTTTAACGAAAAGAAAAGTGTGGGGCGGGAGGGGGAGAGGAAGAGAGCAGGCTGGGTCCTTGCTTAGGCATGGAGTGTTACATTTCATTGGCCACCAACTCCTCTTTGTCAGCTACGCCATTGGAGAGCATATTCTGGCCTTCATTCAAGCGTTTGACTCTGTAGGCTTCAAAATGGATGCTGCTGGTAATGTCCTTGATGTTTTGCATGTGTGTCCTACGGGAAGGAGGAGAGAGGATTAAAAAGAGATCTTTCTGATGTTGGAAATAAAATCAACAACAGCTTGACACAGGAATGTAACGGAGAAGGCCTGTAAAAGCAGTGCCTTGCAGATGCAAAATCTGAGATGCTGTTCTTGACATCTTCAGTAACTTTGGCAGACGCCTGCCTGAAACTCTGTTGCTAGTTAGAATGGATAGCACAGGGGTAGATTGACCCAGACGGTTTCCCTTTGTCAGATTCCTATGACAGGGCAGCTGAGTGCTGCCATGCGAAGTAAGTATAGTAGACCAGGATACCTTAATAACCGCCTGAGCCCTCATATCCCAACTGGTTCACTGAGATCATCACTGCTAGTTGCCTTCTAGGTTACAGAGGAACAACTGGCCTCAACCAGGAGTTGGGCACATGGTATTGCTGGAACACTTTTCCAACAGAGATTTGGCAGGCAGACTCGCTTTTTTCAGGCATCCATTGATGACCTTTTTATGCTGACAAGCTTTTACAGCTGTTTAGGTGGGTTGTTTTTTATTAGCCAGTCACTTTAATGGTTACCTATATTGTTTTTATTGGAGTTTTATGTTTAAACGTTGTATAAACTGCCCTGATATTTTATGATATGGTGGTGCAAAAATACTTTTATTTACAAATAAATAAATGAGTTACTAGCAGCAGTACCAGCTGTGTGGTGGTAGCATCCAGTATGCATTGGCTGTGATGCTACTTCAGATAAATAGATAATACACACATGTGCATGTGTGGAAATACTATATATATATATATATATATATATATATATATATATATATATATTTGCTTTCGTAGATTTTCACGGGTACAGGAATGCAGGTTTTGGTGTCCTCGGGTGTCTTCCCGTGTAAAAGTTGGGGTGTCTAGGCGACGTTTCGACGAGGTCTCACTCGTCATCTTCAGGCTGGTGCTTTCGGCTTCTTGTTACTGGAACAGAGCAGGATCTCAGTGTTTGAGTTCCTATAAATACTGTTGAGGGGGTGTGGTGTATAGCCTCCAATGTTCTGGGCAGAGAGGAAGTTCCCAGGCTAGTGTGCCTTTTCTTCTTTTGTTCCTTAATTACTTGAGGGATATCTTGAGTGATTTCTTGAGTGATATCCTGAGTACCACTTAGGTGGGTCATTAGGTGTGGGTTAGTTGCTAAAGCCTTCGTGTCTTGACCTCTTGAACTTTGTGAAGAGTTTTTCTGAGAAGATGGCTGTACTGCATTTAGTTGTGCTCTGGCTTGGCTTCGTGTATAGGGGCGAGCTGTGGTTTTGTGTCCTGTGCCAGCCAGATCTGTGTAGGGATTGCAGGGGGGTGCAGCATCCGGAGGTGCCACCATGGTTTGGCTACTGGATGGTGTCTGTAATTTATCTGTGGAGAGGGTCTGGGTTTGGGTCTGGTGTGGTTGATTGGTGATGGCGTTCTGTGTGCCTCTGGATCTGGTGTCGGTTTTTGTGGGGAGGGCTAATTTCCAGATGTCTGGCAGGCGGGATGTGTCGTCACGCTTGTTCATGTTGTGAGGGTGTTTCTCTATCTCGATGGCTTCCATGATTATTCTCTTGTGGTGATGTTCCATGTTAGAGAGCAATTTGGAATCTGCAAAATTAATTTCGTGTCCTGTTTCTTTCATGTGTTGGAAAAGAGAGGAAGTTTTTTCTTCTTTTTTGACGGCATTCTTGTGTTCTGCGATACGTGCATTTATTCGTCTGTTTGTTTGTCCAATGTACGTGGCTTGGGCAGACTTTGCAGGGTATTTCATAGACCCCTTGGTTTTCCAACTGGATTTTATCCTGCCCTACCTGTCTTTTCATGTCTTTTCATGTTTCTTTGGGCAGTCTTATGAAATACCCTGCAAAGTCTGCCCAGCCCATGCTCTCCAATGGCGTAGCTGACAAAGAGGAGTTGGTGGCCAATGAAATGTAACACTCCATGCCTAAGCAAGGACCCAGCCTGCTCTCTTTTCCAAGGAAACTTCCTTGTTCAGGATCAGGAAAATAGAAATCAAAATACCTTTCTTCCAATTTAATTTTTCCCAGAGCTTTTAACACTTTCATTGCCTCATCCTTCAACACTTGTTTCACCTTTTGATCTCTGAAAAACTACTGCCCCTTGGAATTGACTCAAATACGCCTGGAAAATCAGGACATTGAAACTTGCCTTCTGATATTGAAAATAAAACTACACACTGCACCCTTGCCCTTCCACATTTAATTTCACCTGAAAATTACATGCAATATGGAAGATACGGGGACAGGAATGTTAATTTTTTTCCTAAGACTCATGTCCTGATTTGATGGGTATTGGAGAAGGTAGCCTATCTTTCTGGCAGACTTTTGCACCAAGTTCTGTAGTAACATCTTGCTACCCTTTTATGAATTAGCATTTTCACCTTTGTGTTGGTAAATAAATATACAATAAGTGTATTAAGTATGCATACTTTCCTAATCTCTCACTAACAGATGAGCATTGCTTTTGGTTCCTTTATTGTCCATCAAAGTTGGGTATAACTTGCAATATTGGTGAAGCAGTTTAATGATATATAAAATAAAGAACCTTCCTGCCAGTAGCTTTGTCAACAATGAACTGTGCATCATTTCTAAGTTTCCTTAGCCCTCTTCACACATCAAACATAGGAAGCTGGTGCATTCATTGAAAGGGGCAGTGGGCCCAGCGTTTCTTTAGCAAGGAACCTTCGTCACTTCTGTATAGCAACTCTACTCTTTCCTTCCAGGACTGACAGCCCTGCCCCTTTGGAAGCTACAGTGCTTTCTGCCACCGGGCGCCTATGTTGTTATTTCTAGAGAGGATTTATAGCATTTTGGGATAAGGCTCCAATGAAGTTATTAATCAGAGAGATGGAAGAGTCCAGCACAGTTTATGGTGTGATGTGGATGAAAAGAGAATCTGAATATTAATGTCTCAGATAATGATTAGGAGATAGAGAAGAATTTGAGGGGGGGGGGTGTAGGAAGGAAGGACAGGAAGCATTGTGGGTAAATATATGCAGCTTCTGGTGGTGATTACCCTCCAAGTAATTAGTTTTTAAAGCAGGCAGACGTTTCAGGAGCCACTTACTCTGAGCTGCTTTAATTATTTATGTTCTCTTTTATTCTTAATATTTATGGCGGGTCCTCTTTTAAACAGGAGTCGCGTGGTGCAATGGGGCCACTCATCCTGAACAGAGATCCCTCTCTGTCACAGGTCCATTCCTCTTCCTCCCCCACCCCAAATTGGATGTTCATTGACAACAGCCCCTGGCTGGAGTCAGTCCTGCAGACAAGTTTATCTCTGTGTTTTCTCTCTCCCCTCTCCTTTCGATAGGATGACAAATGGGATGTCAAGAATTCCACAAGACCCCCACCCTGCACTGCAGAAGCTTCTCACTCTCCTCTGTTAAGGCAGCAAACAGTAAACAATGCCTGTGCCCCCGCTTCCAAATAAGCTCTATTGAAATAAAGTAATATTCCGACCAAATAATCATGGCAGCCACCTGGGATAATTGCTTTTTTTTGAAATGGGTTCTATGGGTGGGGGAGTAAAATATAAAAATGCACCAGGGGAAAAAATGCAACCCAACCCCTAGATCGTCTCCCTAATTTCAGTTGTGTCTTGTATCTCTGTGTGCGTTACAATCCCAACCGGTCATCCAGCACATGTGTGCACATTTAATTTTTTTTAATTTTGCAATGCATGTAACCCTTAGAAAATCAGTTGACTTTCAAACGATAGGGGCGGCTTGGGCCAGGGAGTCTTATTTTAAATGTTAGCAATGTAAATTTGTTCCACTTTTGGTTCTATGTAGTTTGTTATCTGCTTTGAACCTTTGGTTTATAAATGTGTCAGACGGAACAACCTCACAGGGTTGCTGTGTGGATAAAGTGTGTGTGTGTTGGAAGCTATCACATATGCTGCTTTGAGCTCATTGGAGAAAAGGGAGAAGAGGCAAGGTATGAATGGACTGATCTATAGTGTCCTAGTGTGAGCTACATTGGTAAGCATTGCAGAGCCAAAGGCACACACACCTGTGTCATTGCTGCCACCACATTGAATATCCCAGGTTACACAGAATTTTAGAGCTACAAGAAGGGAAGTCTCACTGCACAGTTCAAGGGACTTTGAATACAGCAACAAGGAGTCACTACCATTCAGTTGCCAAATAATTCCACCACCCAACTCATAGGAAGCTGCCCTATACAGAATTGGACCATTGGTTTGTCTAACTCAGTATGGTCTCCGCTGGCTGCCAGTGGCTGTCCATGGTTTCGGGCAGGCGTCTGTCCTAGTCCTACCTGGATATGCTGGAGATTGAACCTGGTACCTTCTGCATGCAAAGCAGAGCTAGGTCCTGCTCACTGAGCTACGGCCTTTCTCTAGGTCTCAGCCTAAAACGGATTGCAGTAGTGTCAAATCTATAAAATTGGCATATAATATCATTTGCCTTCCTCCCACCAATGGCTCAGCAAACATGCACAGTCTTGAAGGATGGAGATGTTGTTACGGTCTGCAACCCACACTATGGAAAACAATATAAATGTTAAGACAATAAGATCGAAAAGATAAAATTTTATTTTTGGTAGCATTCGATACCATAGTTCCAGAAGATACAGAGCAGGGTGGTGATGGAGAAGCCATATTAGTTTGCTGCAGAAAAATCAACCAGTCAGAATTGGTCCCTTAAAGACTAGCAGATTTATTGTGGCAAAGGCTTTCTTGGGTCAGAGCCCAGTTTTTAAAAGCAATAAAGTGATACAGTGGGCTATGGCCCAGGAAATCTTACACCACAAAAAATGGGTGAGTTGTTAAAGGTGCCACAGGATCCCTTGTTTTTTTATTAACCAAGAAGTGTTTTTTAAGTGTAGTCCCTGACAACTGTTCGGGGCCATGCTCGAATTGTTCGCCTCATGCTGCTAGGATGATCCTACAGAATGGCGACGAGGAATGTATTGGCCTCTCTTCATACCCTTCCTGTGGAGTTCTGCTCCACCTCCTCCGTTGCTACTGGCTTGGGCCGGAGGACAAAACTACATAGAAATATGGAGTAAGGTATGACTGTACTGTGCTGGCGATTCCCAGTTTGGTAGATTTATTTTTGGGCTGCGGCTGAAGGTGATAAAGCCAAGTGAACACAGGCTCTGTAAGTATGAGAAAGGGAGAAAAACCTCTGTCCACTTATTCCATACCTTGTTTCAGTTACTACACCTCTATCATGTCCCTCCTCTCACCATTTTTCTAACCTGAAAAGCCCCAACTGCTGAAACCTTTCCACATATGGAAGTTTATTCAGCATCTTGATAATTTAGGTTGCCTTTTTCTGCAACTTTTCCAATTCTGTGGTATCGTTTTTGAGGCAAGGTGACTAGAAATGCACACGGTATGCCAAGTTTGTCTTAATTTTAAAATTATTAACACCCTACCTTGTTTTTTACAATGTTAATTATTTTATATTTCTCATTGTTTTTAATATTTTACGTTCAATAGTATGCTTAACATATTTTATTCTGTTTTATGTACTGTGTTTTCTTCTTGACCAATATATGTACGAAGTTTGTAATTGATAAGTCATTACAATAATGGAATTATATTTTGATCCTTTTTGTAATAATCCTTAATATGGCATTCATTTTTTTCCACAGCTGCCATGCACCGGGTCAACGCTTTAATGGAACTATTCACCACCACTACCACCCCAAGATCCCTTTCCCAGGATCAGTTGGTAAGACCTCATCTGCATATGTTGTAAACCACCTAAAGGTTTTGGGGTGTTGTTGTTTTACAATCAAGTGGTACAGTGATTGGTTACTTTTTAACTTGCATCACCACTATTTGCCTCAATTCTGTCAGATTACGTTCCTGAAAATATCAGTTCAGGAATGGCAATCTGCCGTACTGCTTCTGCACTGAAGATGGGGGCAGGGGGAGAGACAATCAAGCATCTCTGCAAAATAAGTTACTATCTTTCTCACCACCCCATATTTGTTGCAACGTTTGGTCCATTTGCAAAAGAACCTTTAGAAGCTGGGAGAGCAGTTGGGCAAAAGCGTAGTTCACAGGTAAAGCTTACACAAAATAAGCCCTGAAGACAATAATCCTTCTGACATTTTCCATTTGAAACATTTATTTTTGGGAAATACATATTAAACACTATTATTTATACAAAACAGAACTAAATTTGTCATAATGCATACAATCCTCAAAAAGGCCATTTTCTTATAGATTTGGATGATTTATTTTTTTGGTTTCATTCGGTAAAACCTCCCCCCGCCCCGAAGTACAATATAAAAGGAGAAAGCCATTTTTGTCTTGCTTTCGCTGGCTGAGATATTGGCAAACGAGATACAATGCATTTTAATTTTTATGTTGCTGAAGTGCATCTAAAAAAACCAAGAGACATTCTCTATTACCCTTTTCATAGTCTTAAACACTTGAAATATATATATTTTTAGTTAATACAATTTTTATTTTGCTAAAATATAGCAAGTCAGCAAGTAAAAAAAATAATTTTCCTCAGCTTAACACAGCTCAGTAAAGAGTCCTCCGTTTATTCATTTTTACGTTTGGGAGGCACAACACAAAAAGTTAACATGGCAGGCTTAGATTTAACTTGCAACACAACAACAACAACAACAACGTATGAGTGCCTCTGAGCAAAGAATATGTGCAGATGCATCCATTGAGGGCCATGAGTGGCAAAACAAGTGAACTAAATGCCTGACACAGTTTTTGAGTCATAAAGGAAAGCACTTGTCAGGGAACACTGTGGAAGCAGCAAGTAGCTCTTGGGAAGTCTTGGTTAGAGTCAATTTGTAGGCTTGCATCCTAAGGACATGCAAGACGAAAGTGGCCAATGGCTGAGATCCCTGTGTGTTGTGTGTTAAAGTGTGAAGCATTCCCCTTAGGCATGCTGAGAGTGGGCTACATCAGTGCCAGTGAGAGCAAGATGAAAACTTATCATTTGCCTTTTCTGAAAGCCAAGCATCAGCATGCCCGTTCTGTTCTTTGCAGCCCCACAAGAGGGCAGCATGGCTCAGAGCTTTCCACTTTGGAAAAGGAGCTGTGATTGAGAGTCTTCTGCACATGGCACAAGAGGAGGTGGTTCTATAGAGCTGGCTACTTAAGATTTGCTGTCTGAGGAAGAGAAAGCTGTGACTGCTGGTTCTCTTGGTTATTTTTCCATAACTGTGAACATGGCCTCTGCCCCTCCAAATCGGGTAAGTGTTTAGCAAGCAGTTCTTTCCCCCTTTCTCTGTAAAGAGATGTTTCCTCTGACAAACCCGGAAGTTGCACAAATGAACTTCTGGGTTTGTCAGAGTTTAGTTGCCTGACTACTGGAGTTAAGACTGACTGAAGTATTCGAATGAAATCAATGTTAAAAAGAACCCTTTGAGCAACTGGCACAACTCTGCTTCAATATTAAAATGTGGCATGGAAAGTAGGCATAGGACCTCAAGTATTCGGGCCAGCTGATGGGGCAAACAGCTTCCACATGATCCCTACTTCACCACCGCCCTCAAGCACAGAGATCATCTGGAAAATTGTATTGTGTAAATTGACAATCTTAGATTAAGCTGTGTGCTTAACCAAGGGCCATGCATTACTGCAGAATGCATGCAAGATCCCGGGGCTCAGCATTTAATACAGAGCAGGGGGTGGAGAACCTGTGGCTCTGCAGATGTTGTTGCTTGCCCATTGCTCAGGGATGATGGGAGTTGGGATTTGAGCAACAGCATCTGCAAGATTACAGGTTCCCTATCCCTTTTTGCATGCATGGCCCATCTATATGTGCAGACCTAAGGGATTTTAGCCACAGATAGTTAGAAAAGTTATACACACATAAAGCTGCACAATGAGAAACAGCCAGGAACACACACACCCCATAGCCTCTCTAACATTTTAAATAAGAAACAGGTTAAAACAAGAGCTCGAAGGATTGAACTCTTTTCAGCTGAGATTAAAGGGACAGGGGGATTGGGGAGGAGAGGAATGTCCTAAGAATCAAGGTGACTTACATTTGATCCCATAGTAGACCACCTCCTTTTCTCCAGTGAGCAAGCTGGCTCCCTATTATTGCTGGCTTTTTTTTAAAGGAAAGGGGATATAGATCAGACATGCAGGGAGTAAGATGTGCATAGTGCTGGGTGGAATTGTGCCTTCTGATAATACTCCGTTCACTCTACCCTCACGTTAAAAAACTTTTATCTAGGTCATGAAAATCTTCACTTGAAATGGGTGGAGATAAGATACAAAAGAGAGGAACACAAACACACACACACACTAAAAACAAACATACAATGCTTTCCCCCTTCTCACTCTGGTTTACAGAACAATAAACCTTTGGCACTAGGAAATCAAGTGGCTCAAGAGGAAGATTACCATAGACTTGAACCACTGAAACAAAGAAGGCAGACAGGAGCACCTCTCTTTTCTCTCACTTTCATAAGGGTGGGGAGATGCTTTGGTGGCATGTGTGACCTAGCGTCCATCAGTGCCTCACCAGGCCTGTATCAACCAAGTTGCTAATGAAAGCTTCCTCATCCAGATCAACCTCACCTGGTCAGGATTGCAACTTTTGTTGCTTTAACTGGAGGTGAAACTGCATGGATAGGATATGGAATGTGTGGCACCTCTCTTAAACGCAGCCCCGTGCCCCATACTTAATAGCTTCAACTCATGGCACAAAACAAGGTATCACATTCAACTTCAACACTAGGGCAGCTGTCTATGAAACTTACAGTTCACCTCCCAATTGACCAAAGGGGACAGGGGAGGGGGGGTCAGTCTGTGCTTTCTAACAACATCCATCTCAGCCTTAGTAGGAGCTCCCCCAGAGTTTCAAGAAAGGGACGCTCACCTATCACAGTAAAGGACCTATGGCAAGGAGGCCACAACTAAAGTAAAACATCAAACCAATGCATATCCTATTGAGGTTCCCTCTCAACCTCATCCCCTCCCTAGGGATCAGTAACTACAGCCTACACAGAAGAACAGAATAGATGTTTCACATCACAGACACTAGAAAAGAGAAAGACACTACATTTATTACAGAAAAGTACTGTTATTTGGTCAGTTAATGTCAGCAGCTTGGGTACTGTTGGCGGAGAGGGGAAAACAACAGTGGCATAGAGTTTATATGGGGTTTTTCTTGGGTTTTGTTTTTTTTAACGAAAAGAAAAGTGTGGGGCGGGAGGGGGAGAGGAAGAGAGCAGGCTGGGTCCTTGCTTAGGCATGGAGTGTTACATTTCATTGGCCACCAACTCCTCTTTGTCAGCTACGCCATTGGAGAGCATATTCTGGCCTTCATTCAAGCGTTTGACTCTGTAGGCTTCAAAATGGATGCTGCTGGTAATGTCCTTGATGTTTTGCATGTGTGTCCTACGGGAAGGAGGAGAGAGGATTAAAAAGAGATCTTTCTGATGTTGGAAATAAAATCAACAACAGCTTGACACAGGAATGTAACGGAGAAGGCCTGTAAAAGCAGTGCCTTGCAGATGCAAAATCTGAGATGCTGTTCTTGACATCTTCAGTAACTTTGGCAGACGCCTGCCTGAAACTCTGTTGCTAGTTAGAATGGATAGCACAGGGGTAGATTGACCCAGACGGTTTCCCTTTGTCAGATTCCTATGACAGGGCAGCTGAGTGCTGCCATGCGAAGTAAGTATAGTAGACCAGGATACCTTAATAACCGCCTGAGCCCTCATATCCCAACTGGTTCACTGAGATCATCACTGCTAGTTGCCTTCTAGGTTACAGAGGAACAACTGGCCTCAACCAGGAGTTGGGCACATGGTATTGCTGGAACACTTTTCCAACAGAGATTTGGCAGGCAGACTCGCTTTTTTCAGGCATCCATTGATGACCTTTTTATGCTGACAAGCTTTTACAGCTGTTTAGGTGGGTTGTTTTTTTATTAGCCAGTCACTTTAATGGTTACCTATATTGTTTTTATTGGAGTTTTATGTTTAAACGTTGTATAAACTGCCCTGATATTTTATGATATGGTGGTGCAAAAATACTTTTATTTACAAATAAATAAATGAGTTACTAGCAGCAGTACCAGCTGTGTGGTGGTAGCATCCAGTATGCATTGGCTGTGATGCTACTTCAGATAAATAGATAATACACACATGTGCATGTGTGGAAATACTATATATATATATATATATATATATATATATATATATATTTGCTTTCGTAGATTTTCACGGGTACAGGAATGCAGGTTTTGGTGTCCTCGGGTGTCTTCCCGTGTAAAAGTTGGGGTGTCTAGGCGACGTTTCGACGAGGTCTCACTCGTCATCTTCAGGCTGGTGCTTTCGGCTTCTTGTTACTGGAACAGAGCAGGATCTCAGTGTTTGAGTTCCTATAAATACTGTTGAGGGGGTGTGGTGTATAGCCTCCAATGTTCTGGGCAGAGAGGAAGTTCCCAGGCTAGTGTGCCTTTTCTTCTTTTGTTCCTTAATTACTTGAGGGATATCTTGAGTGATTTCTTGAGTGATATCCTGAGTACCACTTAGGTGGGTCATTAGGTGTGGGTTAGTTGCTAAAGCCTTCGTGTCTTGACCTCTTGAACTTTGTGAAGAGTTTTTCTGAGAAGATGGCTGTACTGCATTTAGTTGTGCTCTGGCTTGGCTTCGTGTATAGGGGCGAGCTGTGGTTTTGTGTCCTGTGCCAGCCAGATCTGTGTAGGGATTGCAGGGGGGTGCAGCATCCGGAGGT